AAACAATTATTTAAGATCGACTTCTTGTATCACTCACTTTTTTTGGAATGTGCGAAATGCAAAAAGAAGCGCGTTAAGGGGTGCAGTGATCGAAAAATGCATTTTGGTGGTGCCATATCAACAAATTCAAAAAGTAGTCGGTAACCGATCACTAACTAAATGAAAGCGGTGTTTGCGTTTTGCTTACGCCGAAGGTTGACATAACAATCCAACAGACGTTTTTGTAGTTCAGCCTTGTTGCCAGTAGAGGACAATTCCAATTTATTAAGCTCCTTCTTCAAGTCTTCCTCTCGTAGATCCTTAAACTTCATCGTAGTATTATCGTAATCTCACTTCCGACACCAATTGTTACGTTCTTTGATTTTACTTAATCCCGTGTAGACGTTGTTTTATTTCCCAATACAGTTCGTACTAAATAAAACGCGGGTTCTTTCTGATTACAAATATTACAATGATTTTATTGACACAACTTTACTTTGCACTTTACTTTACTTGACGGTTTCAATTCGCGATCTGATTCACAACTGACTAACTGCCTTGCCATTTCCCCTATTTATATGAGCCTTGTCTGAATGCAGCAAACACATACAAACTTACATGGAGTGAACAATAACAACACATATACAGGCGAGGGAGTAACAAAGAAAGAGGAATTAAGCGATCATCAATGATGACGTTTAACAAGAATTGTACGTCAATAACAAAATAGAAAATTAAAGAGGAAATGGAAGGATGTAGAAAAATCTATACAGTAGTTGTTGTTGTGAAGTTATGCGAATAAACTGCGTAGTAGAAATTTACGTTACAATTCAAATTCTTAAATTAACGGAATTCATCTAAATTAACATAAATCTAAAGTTATATTCGTAACAATATTATTTTATTTTCACAGCAAACTTTATATGTCAGAAAAACCAATTCACACATTAATATCGACCATAAATTAAATATGAGTACCATTTAGTACCAAATTTCATTATTCGAGCTCTAAAGGTTCACCCAAATCCAAATTTTCCATTTAGCACGCATTATTTCCATAAGTACCCTGTTCAACCATTCAACAAAACTTCATTCTTATCCCGATCCTACACCCCCACAATGATTTCAAATTCAAATTTTAGGATTCCAACTATATTGGTTCACCCACAATTTGAATTTTACCAAATTTAGTACACATTAGTACGAATATCCAAAACTTCCTAAATACCCCAATCCTACACACCGACAGTGACTCTAAACCCATGTTTCAGGATTCCAACTTCATAGGTTCACCCACAATTCAATTCAAAACTATTTAAATTGTACCAAATTTAGCACACAGTAGTACGAATTTCCAAAACCTCCTTCTTACCCCAAACCAACACCCCCACAGTGATCCTAAATCCAAGTTTCAGGATTCCAACACTATCGGTTCACCCAAAATTCAAACTGTACAAAATTTAGTACACTGTAGTACCGATTTCCAAAACTTCCTACATACCCCAATCTTACACCTCCACAATGATTCTAAATCCAAGTTTTAGGATTCTAAATCTATCGGTTCACCCACATTTCAAATTGTACCAAATTTAATACACAGTAGTAATTATTTCCAAAACATCCTTCCTACCACAAACCTACACTCTCACAGTCATTTAAAATCAAAGTTTCAGGATTGCAACTCTATTAGCCCACCCACAATTCAAATTGTACCAAATTTAGTACATAGTTGTACCAATTTCCAAAACTTCCTACATTCCCCACCCAATCCCGCACTTCCACAGTGATCCCAAATCAAAATTTCATGATTTCAATTCTATCGCTTCACCCACAATTTAAATTGTACCAAATTTAGTACACATTAGTACCAATTTCTGAAACTTCTTACATATTTCAATCTTACACCTTAACAGTGATCCTGACTCCAAATTTCGTGATTCTAGCTCTATTGGTTCACCTAAAATAAAATTGTACCAAATGTAGTACCATTTAGTACCCATAAGTATTAATTTGTTAAACTGAATCCTGACCTTAATCCTACATCCCTACAATGATCCTAACTCCAAACGTCATTGTTCCAGCTCTATCGGTTCACCCAAATCCAAATTGTATCAATTATAGTACGATTTCGTACTTTTCGTACACATAAGAAAAAAATTTCCAAAACTACGTTCATATCCCAGTTCTACACTCCGACGGTAATGTTACTTTCAATTTTCAATTTTCCAGCTCGATTTGTACCTCCAAAATTTGTATCAAATATAGTACCATATAGTACTTTTCATACACATGAGTACACGCTTTCCAAACTCTCCTCATATCAACCTTAATTTGCTTTCCAAATATCAAGTTTTTAGCTCAATCCATTCACACGCTACGAAATTGTACCAAATTTAGTACATTTCAGAATTTCAAAATAAAACGCAGTAGTAGTACGAAAAAATTATTAGTGGTTTTTTATTTAAAATAGGGATTTTGTACCAAAAATAATGTAAATCTTAGAGTTCTATTATTAAAATAGGCTAGAGAGTGAATACAAAAAATTAATGTTGATTGTTTAAAAATTAGTGATTTACAAAACTATAATCATAAATTAAAGCAATTAGATCTTCTTGTTGTTGTTTGCTATCGAAATCTAAAACTATGAAACTAAAAATATATTCTTAAGTAGATGTTGCTTATTAACAAGTAACTAACAGCCTAGTGACTTACGACCAAACTCCTTGGTTTTGAAAAATATGTCATTTATTTTTGTTTTGATTCAAAAAACATTTATAAACATAAATAAAGGTTTGGTCGTAAGTCACTCGAATTCGTTCGTTTGGAATTTTACAAAAACAGGCTGTAAATCTTTTGGGTATTGTTGTAGAGATGACCGAAATTATGGAAACAAAACAGAGGTGTTTGTATGTACAAAAAAATAAATAAAAAATATACAGAGCATTTGGGTTTAATAGTGACAAAACTAAAATCGGCGATAACAAATCGACTTGGTGTGGAATGATAAAAGAAATATAAAAATGCTTTTGAATTTGTGCGACGTGACCAAATTAGAGGAAGACAAATTGTGTTTTTATGGGGGCCATATTGAAATTCTGTTAAAAATTCGGAAGATTTGTAAGAATTGTAACAAATAAAAACGCGAAAGAATAATTAAAATTTTTCTGACGAACATACATTTTCTGTGGATGTAAAGAAAATTTTTTAAAAAATTTAGTCTTTTGATTTTTACTACAAGTGATGAAGTTTTAAAGGTGTATTTTTCATAGGCGAGAGTTATTTTAATCAATGGTGGACACTACGCTTTTGATTTGAGAAGCTTTTTAAATGATAACGTTTATGTACTTTGTGTGCATATGTGTGTTTTTTTTTCATTTTATTTCTAATATTATTTTTTCTGTTGGATTCTGCTAATATTGTTTCATATAAAAAAAGAACAAACCAGGGCTATCAATGTACACATATACAATGTTCAAAACAAAAAATATTGATTGAATGTGTAAAGCTTAAACCTATATAGAAATCAGACCAAACTTACATTGTAAAATTGGAGTTAAAATTTAGAATTTTCGTTTGTGTATATCTTTATCGTTATTATAATCGTATAGATTTATAGAGATATTCTTCTTCCTTATTGCTGTATTTTTATAGTGCCGATCACTACACTATTTCATTCATTATCATATGACAATTCTTCTACAAAACAAATAAAAAGATTGTTTTAAAGGCGTTACTTTGTTTTTTTTTTCATTTTTTTCTTGTTTGTTTATACTACTAAAAGTAAAATATTTCATTTGTATAGTAGATGAATTTAGTTATTGTATAAATAAATAGTTTGTTGCTTCATTTATTTTCAATACAAAATAAAATTAACGCAAAAATGTACAATTAAAGTGAAACAGTAAATTATGTAATTTGTATTAAATACGAATGAGTAGTACAACAGTACTTCATTATTGTTATACATAATGTGTGTATATATATATATATATATATATAAATATATATGCATATAGAATACAATGTATATTTGTATTACATTAAGAGGGGGTTATATTTTATGGATGTGGATTGTTGTTGTCATTTGTTATATTAATTTAGTTTATATTAATTTTTGTATCTTACTTAAATACTTGTAAATAAATAATTATATTTCTATATATAAATATATATGTACGTTCGTATATATGTATATGTAAGCATGTATGTGGGTTATATGATATTTTATACTTATAAAAAATGAAGATCTAAATAATTGTTTGATTAATCCAACATATTATTCTATACATAATTTGAACTTTTAGCTTTTTAGAATATCTATACATTTTCTAGTCTGGAGTTAAACTAATGATGGGATTTCCAATGCAGCATAAACTTCAATTCACGTAAAATCCACAAGTGCTAAGCAAGCATAAAATGTTATATTTAGATATAAAATAAAATATTCTTTGAGCTAAAGCTATGTATATTATTATTATTTTTTTTCAATGTGCTAATGGAAGAGAGAGATTGATCAGAAACAAAATAAAGTCGCATTATAGTATGTTGGTTCAATTAGAATTATTCCAAAATATTAAAAATATATTAATAGATCCAAATTTCGATGTGTGTAACAATTCAGCTTCTAAATTCTTTTATGTTCCAATAGAAACATACTGCACCGATATAGGAACACACTGACAATTGATGGTTATTTTAGCATTTAATGTGTCCATATGATGTCCCGCTTTTATATATTTACATGTATTTATCACAAGTTTTAGATTTTAATGTAAAAAGTACAAATATAATGCTATCATTCAATACTGTTTTAGCATTGCTTTTTTGTATGTGAAGTTTATGTTACCTTGGATGAGAGGAAATGAGTTACTACTGCAGTGGATTAGTAGCAATATATTTGTTTTTTGGTGTTTGGAAGGCATACAGAGGAAGCAAAGGTCGAAGGTAAGTACCGTGGTAAAACAAAAACAAATAAAAAAATATATATAGAAGGAGGCCCGAATTCAGACCACCAGCTGGCTTCAACATTTGTTTGCAAATCTTTCAACTGGTAGCTTTTCACGTAAGTAAATGCTGGATGTGGGGGTAATAGTGGGTGCTACACTAGATGTGGTCGAAGAGTTGCTAGACGAAGGTGTCGCTGACGAATGGTGATGTACCATTGCAGCAGCACGCATAGAATGCTGATTGTTTTGTTGCTGCTGCTGCTGGTAGAGCTGTTGCGCGCTGCGTTGTTGAGACGACGACTGTAGATTATGCATGAAATACGCGTTCATATTCGTGGGATGTTGCGAATGCTGTTGATGATACGGATATGCCATCACCAATTGCATTTGTGGCAAAACTTGTTGCTGATGTTGGTGCTGTTGCTGTTGTTGTTGTGGTTGCAAATCCATGTGGCCCGCAGTGCGCATCATTTGTAAATAGTTGTCGTCGCCTATCGGTGCCTGCCGACTGCCGTACTTTAGTTCTCGTGATATTCCCTGCTTGTAGTTTCGGTGATCTTTGTCGATGACATACGCCACCTCTCTCAACTGCATAATTGTCGCTTTGAATTTTGCATACAAATGCGGTGACTGCTGTTGCAGTGCTATCGCTGTTGCCACCAAAGGATTGTGTTGTTGTTGCAGTTGATGAAAAACTCCGACATGATCGAGAAATGTTTCCAATTGTGTCATGTGGGACATGATAAGGGTATGAATACGTTGTAAATCCAACGCTGGGTCCAATGCCGTTATCAAATCCATTTGAAAATAGTCCATAGCTTCCGCTGAGACGTTTTTACAGCCTGGCGCGTTTTCATCCGATCGATCACAGCAACTATACACGCCATTTACGAAAGCAGATGGGTGAAAATATTGTGATCTTATGGAATTGGTTAGGCAAATTTTATGAAGCAGGTCAATCCATTCTCTTTCTTCGACACAGTTAGTCGTCTGTACAATAAGTGAACGGTCTTTACGCACAATCTAAAACAAATAAAGACAAAAAATATTAATATTATTGTACTATATGTACAGTCGAGTACGGTTATACCGAATTTAGTTCGTTAGAGCTACTAAATTCACTCGATTAGAAATGTCAATTCCAAAGCGTATACGTCACCTAAATCCTGTTCAGGAACCTAGTGGACGCTATGGAATTCACATTTGAGATCGAGTAGATTTCGTAAATCTGAACGCACTTTTATAGAAGTTCGTTATATCCAAGGTAAGTCAAAACAGAGAAATATATATTCAGTTAGAAACTTGTAGATGTTGTGTCTTTTTGACAATTTTTCCCAGCTTTAGAGTAAAAATTACTTTTTTTGAGGATTGTCATCGGCAGTATTACGTATATTTGTAGTAAGTTCGTTATATCCAAATTAAAATATATGAAAACCGAAAATACCTTATCGTTGGATTCGTTCAGGATGCAAATATGACTTATTAGTGGTCTATAAAATCACATTCTTTTGTAAAATTATCTGTTAGGTCTTATAGGTGTTATTATTGTATGCAGTTGAACTATAGTAGATAGCCAACATTCTTTTGTAAAATTATCTGTTAGGTCTTATAGGTGTTATTATTGCATGCAGTTGAACTATAGTAGATAGCCAACATGGCCAAAAACTTATTTTAAGTATATAACAATGAATAATCAAACTAAATTCAGAATGTATAATATTGAGTAGTTCTACAAAACTAAATTTAACGCAAACAACAAATGTAATCAGATTCAATAAATATAACCCCACCCAATCCACTGCACTTTACTAAGCTTCCGTTAAGAAAAGCAGTGGGGAATGAAAGCATAAATCTTACATTAAAAATTAACATACGAGCGAAATTAAAAACGATATACATTAAAATGCATTTGTATATACTTGACGTTGGTCAACATTTAAAATGAACGGCTGATTCAAATACATCGAATTGTGCTGGATAAATCTTATTGGAAGAAATTTATTCAATAGCATCTATCGTTACTGTAATTTGGAGTAAGCAGACAATATCCAGTAACATTTGGTAACAATTGTTATCAAGTAAACAAACACAGCTAATATGTTTTAATTTACAAACAAATTTAGTAATTCGTTCGAATTCAATTTTATTTTGCATTTAACGTTTTCTTTCGAAAATAATCTTTACAATAGTAAATTTTCGAGAACTTAATTTGAAATTCATAACATTTCACTTGTATTTCGAGTATGTAATTGGTAATTCACAACATTTCTTTTGTAATTTTAAACTTTTCATATGAAATTCAAAAAATTCCATTTAAAATTTAAAAAAAATTCATTTGTAATTGGTATATTTCCATTTGAAATTTTTAGTTTCATTTGAAATTCAAAGAAATCCGTTTAAAATTCAAAGAATTCAATTCGAAATTCAAAACATTTCACTTGTAATTCATAAAATTTCAGTTGTAATTCATAACAATTCATTTCAAATTCATACATATTCCATGTGTGTTACCATTATCTGTTAGGTCTTATAGGTGTTATTATTGTATGCAGTTGAACTATAGTAGATAGCCAACATGGCCAAAAACTTATTTTAACTATATAACAATCAATAATCAAACTAAATTCAGAATGTATAATATTGAGTAGTTCTACAAAACTAAATTTAACGCAAACAACAAATGTAATCAGATTCAATAAATATAACCCCACCCAATCCACTGCACTTTACTAAGCTTCCGTTAAGAAAAGCAGTGGGGAATGAAAGCATAAATCTTACATTAAAAATTAACATACGAGCGAAATTAAAAACGATATACATTAAAATGCATTTGTATATACTTGACGTTGGTCAACATTTAAAATGAACGGCTGATTCAAATACATCGAATTGTGCTGGATAAATCTTATTGGAAGAAATTTATTCAATAGCATCTATCGTTACTGTAATTTGGAGTAAGCAGACAATATCCAGTAACATTTGGTAACAATTGTTATCAAGTAAACAAACACAGCTAATATGTTTTAATTTACAAACAAATTTAGTAATTCGTTCGAATTCAATTTTATTTTGCATTTAACGTTTTCTTTCGAAAATAATCTTTACAATAGTAAATTTTCGAGAACTTAATTTGAAATTCATAACATTTCACTTGTATTTCGAGTATGTAATTGGTAATTCACAACATTTCTTTTGTAATTTTAAACTTTTCATATGAAATTCAAAAAATTCCATTTAAAATTTAAAAAAAATTTCATTTGTAATTGGTATATTTCCATTTGAAATTTGTAGTTTCATTTGAAATTCAAAGAAATCCGTTTAAAATTCAAAGAATTCAATTCGAAATTCAAAACATTTCACTTGTAATTCATAAAATTTCAGTTGTAATTCATAACAATTCATTTCAAATTCATACATATTCCATGTGTGTTACCATTATCTGTTAGGTCTTATAGGTGTTATTATTGTATGCAGTTGAACTATAGTAGATAGCCAACATGGCCAAAAACTTATTTTAACTATATAACAATCAATAATCAAACTAAATTCAGAATGTATAATATTGAGTAGTTCTACAAAACTAAATTTAACGCAAACAACAAATGTAATCAGATTCAATAAATATAACCCCACCCAATCCACTGCACTTTACTAAGCTTCCGTTAAGAAAAGCAGTGGGGAATGAAAGCATAAATCTTACATTAAAAATTAACATACGAGCGAAATTAAAAACGATATACATTAAAATGCATTTGTATATACTTGACGTTGGTCAACATTTAAAATGAACGGCTGATTCAAATACATCGAATTGTGCTGGATAAATCTTATTGGAAGAAATTTATTCAATAGCATCTATCTTTACTGTAATTTGGAGTAAGCAAACAATATCCAGTAACACTTGGTAACAATTGTTATCAAGTAAACAAACACAGGTAATATGTTTAAATTTAAAAACAAATTTAGTAATTCGTTCGAATTCAATTTTATATTGCATTTAACGTTTTCTTTCGAAAATAATCTTTACAATAGCAAATTTTCGAGAACTTAATTTGAAATTCATAACATTTCACTTGTATTTCGAGTATGTAATTGGTAATTCACAACATTTCTTTTGTAATTTTAAACTTTTCATATGAAATTCAAAAAATTCAATTTAAAATTTAAAAAAAATTCATTTGTAATTGGTATATTTCCATTTGAAATTTGTAGTTTCATTTGAAATTCAAAGAAATCCGTTTAAAATTCAAAGAATTCAATTCGAAATTCAAAACATTTCACTTGTAATTCATAAAATTTCAGTTGTAATTCATAACAATTCATTTCAAATTCATACATATTCCTTGTGTGTTACCAATTATATTTTTCGAATTTAAAATTAAATGCTATGAAAAACAAATGGAATGTTATGTATTTCAAATCAAATATTAAGAATTTCAAATGGAATTATTTAAATTTCAAATGGAATTCTATGAATTTCGAAAGATATTCTATGAATTACAAATGAAATTCTCGAATTACAACTGATATGTTATGAATTGCAAATGGAATTCTCGAATTGCAAATTATATGTTGTGAATTAAAATGGAATTCTCGAATTACATTTGATATGTTTTGAATAACATGTGAAAAAGGTGTAGAATTGGTTTGGGAAAATCAAATTTGTTAATTTTTTGAAATTGAAGCGAAAGAAACCTTACGACAAAAATACCTTAAATTGGAAGGTACGGTTATATGGGGCTATAGTCAAACAAAATTTGGCTCAAATCCAAGTGGTTCGGCAGTTAAATAGTTTTTACCCCATATTTGGATTCGGTAATTTGCCCAAGTATTTTCCCACGTTTTAAAACGATTTGATAACAGAACTCCATTTTGAAACGATTTGATAACAAAACCCAGGAAATTTGGTTTAAAATACAGTCGAGTACGGTACGAGTACAACTGGTAGGGACAACTGGTACAATTGGTAGGGACCAAGCAAATTAGGTCATTATAAAAAAAAAAAGTTCGTTATATCCAAGGAAAGGCAAGATTACAGGCTTAGCAGAAAAATATATAATTAGTTAGAAATTGGTAGATTTTTTTTTGTCCTTTTTGTCAATTCTTAAGGTGCTTCTCCTTTTCTTTAATGAGTCTCATATGAGTCTTATAAGCGTACTCGTTTGTATTGTATTGGTGATTCAATATAGTAAATGCCCGCAAATGGATATTTTCGAGCCGTGTGGTCTTTGCCCCGTTAAATCGCTTTTCGCTTCAAAAATAACTTTAGATGTAGTTGCGGAGTTGTACTTGGAATAAATTCGAAATTTTATAACCTTTTACAAAAACAAAATTTGTTTCAATAAATGAAATTCTAAAAAAAATATTTAAAATACGTTCTGTTGAAAATGGTCAACTTTATATTTTAATATGTAATGCGTATCTGGGTAACATTCATTGTACATGTAAATAAAATTATTATGTTTCATTTTTCTCTTGCGATAATTGCTTTAACGATTAAATGTATTTATTTCTATAGGATTTTATGTTTTGTGGTTAGCTTGTACCAAAACAAATGGTCAAGTCTTTGGATAAAAAATTATTTTTAATATTTATTTATGACAATTTTCTTATTAAAAAAAGTAAAGCAACATCTTCTAGGTTTTATTTACAGACATGTTATTTTGCTACCACTAAAAAATTTTTAATTGTAATATTTGAGAGCACTACTTATATACACATGAATTGCATAGTGTGGAAAATTAAAACTAAAAGTGAAACCGTCGTACAGTACAACACCACCAGTAGGCATGCTACAATCGCACCCAATCAAAAGGCAGACAAAATGAGAAGAATTGAAGAAAAAGAAACAAAAACATTGCCACCACCTTTGAAGTGTACATGGCAGTAAGAAAACAACCGAAACAAACAAATTAAATATGTATGTTTGTTGGTTAAAAATGAAGCCCCTCGAAGAAGCTCTACGACGATTCAATCATGGGTGTTGAACATCACTTTTAAAAGGGAAATTTTGTAATAATGCTGCAACAACAATAATAGCTTCATTCCTTTATACGACCATTGAAGCTGTCGCTTAGAAGAGTACAGCAAAAACAAAGTCTTTTATTAGCTATAATTATGTATGAGATATTTTTATGGTTTGTATGAATTTATGAGTGTATGAACGCAAACCGCAGTAGAATGGGAACGACACAATTGTTGTTTTTAGACATACAATGCGTCATGTGAATTTTGTACAAGACCCTGCAACTTGATTAAGTGAATTACAACAATTTGAATAGGTGCAATTTGACTACATATAGAAAGGTTTCACTGGCCAACTTTCTCAACATTGCACTCTCTGCAGATGATTTGCATAGTAGGCGTTAATGATTGTTTGTGATACATTACTGAAGACTGATTTAATTCAAGTTTGGGTAACGTTTATTGGACAGTGATTTTCTCTTTTTAACAAAGTAGATGAACTTTTTAAGATTAAACCATCTCCACATGAAACCCCACTGAACTGTTAAAAAATAGTTTTATGTTTTCCTAATACGCCCTTTATAAAGAATCAAGTGATTCACAAATATGTCGCAGAACATGTTTAGCTATTATTAACCATATTCCATTCTGTAAATGTACATTTTGTAGACCACAACAGATAGACTTTAGCGCGATATAATTTAAAGTTTTTTTTTTCAATTATTCTCTATACTCACCTTAAAACAATTTTGCATTTTAAAACTTTTCTCATTTAATTGTTCGACGCGTTCAATTTCCGACAATGGTATATCACAGATTGGTTGTTTGCCTTTCGATTTGGCATAGCACAAAGACTGGGTCGTCAGACGAAAATAGCGTTGCTTAAAAGGACGTCGACCAAAACGTTTGCGACATTGCGGGTATTTAGTCATCATGCTGGCAATTAAAAAATAAAAATATAAATATTCTTTTAATAAGAATTGTGTGGCACGGACTGTATTCTCGAATAATCCATATAATAAAATATGATAAATGCAAATGAAATAAATAAATTTTTCTTACCCCTCGCTAATATTAGTAATGATAAATTAGTCAGATTGTGTCAAATGTATTTGTGTAGGTGGATATGGATGTGTTTGGGATGAGAGGCAGATGATATATGTTATGGGTTGGAAATTGCGTGATTGGTAATGAAAATGCAAGATATGAAAAATGTTATTATTATTGAACTACTGCAAAATATTTTATTTCGAATGGTAAAAATGGCTATGCTCACCCTTCCTTTAATAATACTGGCTCCAGACTGTTCTCCCCAATGGGGAAGAGACTGCCGGATTCATGATTGGATCCGTTCTCATCAATACAGGGCGTGGAAATATTTTCCAGAAATGCTTTCACTGCCTCAACATGCTTTTCTGTGCAGAATTTTTTATACAACTGTCCGGTGTACTCTTCTTTACAGGGTTGCTGTGAGGAACGCGAACTTACCAAATTTCCCAGCGATTGTATTGTTTTTGATATCAGTGTCAATGTACGATTCGTTTGACAGTCCTGCCAGAAGAAGATCGAATACAAATAATTAGTTGTTATTTTAGGATATGAATAGGATTTTAAAATTACCAGTGGCTCTGTGGTTAAATCAAATAGTTTTGGCCCCAGTATGGCCGGTGCAAAAAAACGCAGGAATATAAAACCCGATACAACCGAATATCGAACTTCACGATTGTGTGGAAAATGACGTCCGGCACATTCTCGCAAATCATGAAAAATTTGGCACAACACTTTGGGACAACGTACAGCGCTCTTGGTAATGGCGTCGAATACCTTCTCTACATAGTCTTGCAGATGATGCAAATTAGTATCGACCGCTGAGCGATCTTTCACTTTGGACGGATCTATTTCGCAGGGCTTCTTTTCAGCGAGTATTTGCGCCAATACGGGCCGTAGCGTTTGATGCAGATAGTGTAAGCCCGATAAGCGCATCGCCTCGTCCATCATTTTCGAAACCAATGTATTGCCACGAAATATGGTTGTCGGATCGGTTAGATTTGAGATCTCGTGGTCTGCTAATGCCTTAATAATGGGTGCGATCCGGCCCGTGTGTGTAAAAAGACGAACCAGCGGCTGTGATACATCCGTTTTACATGACACCAATTCGCCCAGTATAAACACTGATGATAAAGTAATGGGTCGTTGGTCCACGGACTCGAGCAGTAGATTCATAAGATCATCGTAAGTGGCAAGCGGGAAAACGTGATCGGCGGTATAGAGTATTTTTAAACGGAGCGAACCAATTGTACTGTCGCCGCTCAACCGTGTGCCCGGTGGAGTGGCACACGATCGCGTCGACGGATTCACTGACCGCACTGAGGAGCTTAACGACCTCGGTTGAAGGTAATACCAGGCAGAAGGTTGAATGGATGCTTGTTGCTGCTTGTTACGCATTGGCAACTTCACTTCACCCAGAAACACCTTGTCAGACATGCCAGAAGCATCGTGCCACACCGACACCGTTATCTCGCACAAATCCGCCCCTCCCACCGGATAGATTGTGTAGGCTTTGTTCGAATTGATCGTTCCACTTCCGCTGCTCGAATCGTAGTGTGCCGATTTCGCCGAGGACGAGGAATCGCATTCAATACTAAGGTCGAAACTCATACTCTCATCAAATTCGGGATTCACCGTCTTCTTGCGCAATTTTGTTCGTTTCAATATCTGCCGTTTGTTTGAGTACGTGGCCGTACATAAAACATAGGGATCACAAGTACCATTCTTCTTTGGCAAGTCTGTGCACTCCGGGACACGTATGGTCACACGAGAGTGTTTTCCATTCGCAGACGAGTTTTTCCAATTTGTGCCGTCCTCTATACTTTGCTGTTGATGGTGTAGATTAAATATTGAGCCATTGCCACCACCACCTCCAGTCCCGCCTGTGCTTCGATGTTTGTTCGTATTGTTTCGTTGTATATTGCTCAGTTCACTATTCTCTTTGTAGTCGTTTTGCAACGACTGATGCTGCTGCACGAACTCCTCAATAATTTCACTGTTGTTGCGATCGTAATCGCTTGGTCGCAGCATGTTGATACGTTGTTCGTTAATCTGTGCGGGTGATTCCTCGAATTGTACCACAATGTGTGCCATCCCCTGCACTTCGGAGTCCGAATCGACCGGCCTGAGTGAAAACCAATGATCCTTGTGATTGTACATGTGTAGTTCTTCGCGTTTTATGGCAATTTTTCCGATGGGCTTGTCCTGTTTCATGTGCCGATCTCTATCCCAAACATATACCGATAGGTAACGAAAGCGACGCGGAATTTTAAACTGATACTCTTCGCCGAAAAATGGCGACAATGTACGTTCTATGGTGGGTGTTCGGCAAATTTCTTCCTGATCCAAGGCGATCGTGCAGTAAACATCTCGTGTTCCCTGTGTGCTACAACTTGTATTTGCCGCATTTCGACTGCTTAGATTTTTCGCTTCACCTACAAAAAATGAAAACAAATCATTAATAACTTCATAATGGGGATCACCCGAATCAAAGCAGTATTTGTTGTGTACATTTTAAAACTGTGACGATTTTTAGCGTAACAGAAACCAACAGTCGGTAGAGGTATGTAAATATGTGAATAACGAAAAGCATTACAAGACTACTTTAAAATCACTTGCCAACTTCCGTTTATTAATACCTTTTTTAAATCCTTTTTTAAAATGATACCATCATATCATCAAACATAACTTACAATTTGTGGTCTATAATATCAAAAAAATACAATTTTTAATATTAAGTCTAATTACAATACTAAAATTAAGACCAGGTACAAATTATTACGTGACTTTCTTGTAATATTTATACAGTAGATATCGGATATAAGCACATCTCATATAAGAAAAAATCGCATATAAGAAAGATTTTCAAAAAAACCAAGCTTATACTATCGTATATCCGATATTTCCATATAAGAAAAAACGCATATAAGAAAGAAATCTCCGGCTTTTTTGAGTTTTTTATAACCGATATCAACTGTATATGCAGAAGGTAATGAGTAAATCAAAAATGTTTTCGATTTAGTTGGATAATAAGAACAAATAACACAGATATATTATCGTTGCAATTTATGAACATGTTATGTTGTCTCGCCTTTTATATCTAAAGACAGACATGATTAAAAAATACAATAACGGAAATTATGCAAATATATAACAAATGTGATTGAAGAAATTACTACAAATTCTCAAAATACATCGGATAAGTATAGGTTTCTAAGTTCGACACACGTTTGAATCAGATGCCTTAGTGTTATAATTGATTCCAATATTTTTTTGGAATTGCATTTGGATCAATTCGACAAAGGGGAGAGAATACGAATAACAGCTATTCTGCTTCTAAATAAGCGAAAATTTCAACCGTTTATTGATATTCGACAGCATTGCAATATTCTTTTTTTTAAGAATATTATAGACATTTCTGTAAACATGTAAATAAATTTGCAAACTTGCAAATTGAGTAATGTTATGTGACGTCTAAATGATGAATGTAATATTTTAAGCACATGCAAATATCAAATCTGTTATACAAAATTGAAAAAAAATGTGAAATGAAAATGACGAACAACCACACGGTTTGTAATATGAAACCAAAAAAAAAAAAGACAAGTTTAGAACGGCAAATCAGCAATGCCAGCATCTGTGTAAACCCACTACACATACATACACGCCCAGACAGTACAGCAGTAGTCATCAGCTTTACAAGTGAGTACGTACATGAATACATACGTATATATTGGACCGGAAATCGATTTGAGCGCACGTACAAGATGCACATTTATAAGAACCGCAAAACCAGAGCAACGACAAGGCAGTATTGCAGGTACAATCTGTTCCCTCAGCATCAAATAACACAGATCGACGACTCAACAACAAACCAATATTTAATATCATTTATTGTCCGCGACATAAAATAAAAGATCTTCAGTTTGCAATTCTACATGAGAAGATTAAGGAAGAACCAACAAAAACAGGTTTTACCTCTGCATCGTTCCAAAGTTACACTGAAGATATCTCATCGCCTATCGCAGTAGACGGTAGCGGCATGTGGTATGGGATATCTTTAATCATAAACGAAAACGTGCACAACTTCTTGGAATAAAAGCAAATAAACACAACTGAATGAGTGTGAATAGAATCTCCACGCCACGCCAGAGTGAGGGTATGTACGTGGATGCCAGAAAACAGATGTAAAAATATCGCAAAGATGCAGAAGAGAAGCAACACGTGTTCCAGAGGGAATCGTGCACGTTCACAGTTGTAATCAAACAAGAAATGATCCATAGATTTAGCGAGCAAACGGAAGGAAATACCGGGCAAATAAGTAAATGTATGATTAATTATTGAAATTTGCAGGATACAGTAGTTCAAGGCATGAAGTTTAACTTCAAAAGAGCAAAATATAAAAGTAATATTTAAATGTTAACGTCAATTTACAATAATCACGAATGTTTTATTATTAATATCGCTTTTTCTTTTTTTTTTTGTTAAATTATATGATAAAATCTATAATCATATTCATGTTATTGATATTATATTTGTACATAGATATCAATAAAGTCTAGTATGTTTAGTACAGAAAATTGATCATTTCGATTGTGCAACCGTACAATATTGCGTTCATGCTATATTTTAAGTATTTTGAATGTTTCTGAACTATTTCATTGTATAGCTTTTATAAAGAGATACAGTTATATTTTGGGTAATTTGCTTATTTAGCCAGATTTTCTCTCAAGTTCTACATTACACTACAGACATTTATATATGACTATAGGCGGAGGATATACTGTTGCTGTCAATAAGTGTAGCATGCATCATACTTAACATTTACAAAAACACAAAACGTCCCATCAAGGCATGAAAGAGAATATAAGAAGACCCTGGCACCAATACATCAGGGAAAATGTGTTAAAATTCAGAACAGATCGATTAAAACCTATGCACCACTATATAGATTTGTATTTTAATAAAAAAAGAAAAACTAATTGAAATTCAAATTGAAAATTCTCCTTTACTGATTTATCTTTTGAAATATCTAATTTTTCGCCGATATTATGTTTCAACGAACGGACAAGGCTTAACCGCCGGTGAATTTTAGGCTGATCGAGAATATATGTCAATATCATATGCAACTGAAATTTATTACGGGAAAATATTTAGTAATCTTTTTATATCAACATAAAAGATACCCAAGCTTTAGATTTGTTCATGCTTTAGGTTAAACTGAAACAATAGGTTCGTTCCCGTACTTTTTGATAGTAAAGCTAGTAAAAGAGCGAACTATCAAAAATTACTCTCACATACAAGATTTGCGCAAAAAGTAAAGGAACGAAAAATAGTTAAAACATGAAGAAACGTCAAAATCAAAAATTTCATCAATTAAGGACAAAAAAAACTACAGAAACCTAATGCACACAAAGAAACAAAAAGTTAAACGGCGTCCATTGTGTGATTTTGATAATATTAATATTTATTGTTTATTTTTTATTTGTATAATTTAGATGAAAACATTATCGAATATTTGGAAGTGGAGTTTCCGACGACTCCAAGTCCGGAAAGCCTTACATGGCTGGACGCTCCCATAACGTTAATGTTTAGGCGCTCCACTCGGAACATTTTGAAATGATTACCGTAAGTAGCCCTCCTTGTGCTGACTACAGTGATAGATATTTCATGTGGGGAAATACATACTTCCCGAGACATTGGCCTTGAAATTTCGGAGAATATTTTGTTTAAAACAATCGCAATCCAAATTCTTTTTTTAAATTGTATATACATTATGATATATTCTTCTTCTAGTTTTAAAGCACAAACCATAACCTTTAAAATGATACTCATATTACCTTGCTGGAAATAGTCAAACGGCTGATTAACACAACATACTCTCCGAACTTTCAAGGCCCATATCTCGGGAAGTATGCATTTCTCCCCATAAAATATATATCACTGTAATCAGTTCAACGATGACTACTTACTGTAAAAATGTCAAAGCGATCCAAGTGGTTCCCCTAAACTTGACATAAGCCCAAGATATTTTGGGCAAATGTACACACATTGGTTAGTACGATTAACCAATAGAACTTGATGATGCACGTTCCCAACCCAGGTCTTCTTTCTATAGTATCTTCATCTGAATCTTCTGCCAGCCATTCATCTTCGCTATCCTCCAAAAGAGAATAATCTGTTTGTCCATTTTTTAATTTCTTGTTTTTTTTCAGGCAAATGTGTGTGCGTCTGTGCGTGTGTCCCTTTTGTTGAAGCGCTAACTTTCATGTGCTTTATTTCGGGCTGTATATCTCTGGCAATCAAATGTCAAATTCATAATTTACTACATTTACTATTTCGTGCTAGGCCAAATTGGTCTTGCAGAAAATAGGAGAAGAGAACGCAATTTTGGTTTTAACTCTCTTAAATTTAATTTCAAATTTAAGAGAGTTTTCGGCGTAAGGGAACGCTTTTCTAGCAAAAGTTGCAAAACTTGTACAATATAGTACTATATTGCAGGTTTGGGAACACAGCTAATGATGAAATATTTTCATATATTTTTTTTGTTTTTGTATTTTACTGTCAACTTTATTGAAAAAATCGATATTTGCTTGGACAAAACAAATTCAACCGGTATTATAATTTCTCTTTCAGAAAATGCAATAATGGACAACTTTTTCACTACAATAACACTTTTTTCTTTATGGTATCGAATAAATTAATAAAAATTAGTAGACTCTTACAGTAGGGGAATGTACTAATAGTTAACATGTCTTTCACATTTTATATTTTTGAATTTTTTAGTTGTCTTTAGTGTATGTAAGGAATTTTAACAAAAAAAAAAAAAAATATATATATATATATATATTTATACGGCCACAACAAGCAATTAAAAATGACAAACGATAAATTCACTTTGGGAATTTCATAAAAAAAGGAAATATCTGAAGAAAATAAAGTTCGCAAAAGTTGAAAGTTAAAGCCACAAATACAGTTTCGGTGATTCATCGAGGACACGAAAGTCAAGATGAAAATAAAAAAAACGGATTTTTTAACTTTTGGCTTTGATTTCTCAAAATTTCAAATGGGCTAATAAGATTACAAATTAACTGTATTTTTCACTATATTAATTTTTGTTTTTAAGTCATTTTATGTTTTAACAAATTTTGATTTGAATTTTATAATTTTCAAAGTGTTCAAAACTGCCCCCCATTAAAACAGTAATATGTATTCATATTCGTCATAGTAATATGTATTCATATTCGTCCATTAAAATAGTAATATGTGTAATCATTTTAAAGGTTACATATACCAGCTAAAATGCAAAAAGGCGTAACTAACAAAAAAAAATTGAAAATTTACGTTTTGAATGAATATTGTAAATGTCAATAAACTACATGTGTTGACAAATTTCACACGTCTGCGGTCAAAAAAGGAGCTTCTATTAACAAAA